TTTTATCTTTGGTGAAAAATTTCAATTATCAACTGAGTAATGGACCCAGAAACACGGAGAATAAAAACTCCGCTCAGACACTGTGGGGTATGGTATTTGTCACTCAATATCTCAGAAATAAGTCTAGAATCCTATTGATATGTCTGCTTTATAGTATGTAGGACATACTAAATTAGATATATATACAAAATATGAAAAAAATTAAATGACAGGTATTTTTTTTAGCTAAAGGTCTTTCATCCCCTTAACATTTATAATATTCAGTAACAAATCTCTTTATGAAAAAGATGTGTCAGATTCTGTAGTGTCTTTTATCAAGAGTTCAATTTAAAATGTAGATTCGATATGTGTAAATCTAAATGTTACCTTATGATAAAATGATTTGACACCGAGTTCTGAGTTCCTCAGACATCAAGTACAATAAGTGGATAAGTGTCTACTAAACCTTTGATTAACTTTATGGAACCTTGCTCTTTCCTTTGAAGCAGAAGTTTTGAAACATTTCATATCATTTCTGTATACCTGTACCAAGTATTATACAAGGGCAATCAATAGGTATCTCGGCTTTGCTTTCAGATTCCCAACATACGACAAATTCAGAAATACCAAACTCGTCAAGCACAACACTGAACGCTGTAACGTTAACGGAAACCACAACGTTTGTTCTCAGTCGAGAAATGGGTTTGAAAGTTAAAATTCTTAACTCTCTTTAGAAAGATAAATAAAAACCTTTTTTAACGACGTTCGATCCTGATATTTAAAGTCTTAAACTTTTTTTGCCAAGTATATTTTTAGTTTCTACATACATAGCTTTATTATAATTCAAATTAAAAAAACAAGGGTAAATATGCTTCTTTTGGCGCTACAGTACATTTGATATGACCTTTTTGCTTTGAAATTTCTACCTGAATTAAAAATTACACCATCGACACTTTCTCGCCAATATTTTTATCCAATTAAAGCATGAAACATAATTAACTTTAAGTCTGTTTTAAAATATACACTTAAAAATTGTGACTAAGAAAAAGTTTCCAATTGCTTCGCATAATCAATTATTTGACCTTTATGCACCAATAAAATATAATTTTTCTGGCATTGAAAATTTAATAAGCAAGAAAATTATTTTAAGTCTTAAACTTTTCCTGATTTTAAGCAAATAGGTCAAAGTTATCTTGAATATTTAGAAAAGAACATCAAAAGTGGGGGTATATGTTAATTTTCAGATATTACTAAAAAAGTGTCAATTTTACGTTAAAATCGGCTCATTTTTTTCCCGAATTTTCAGAATATATATCTTATATTTGACACACTTGGTTGATAGAATTCATAAAAAAATAATTTTATAAATATTTCAGAACCAGCATAACACATATAACTGCAAAAAACAGCATTTTGTGCAACCAGCATGGAAAAATAGAAATCCAAATTCAACACTTCTGTTATAGTTCAAAAGAGACAAACTGATCATTTTCGTCTAAAAAAAACCTTCTGCCACAAAATATAGTCTCTAGTTTAATTCTATTTGAATGGAATTTAATAGTGGGTTTTTCATTGAATATAGTTAAATTGGCATTGTAGAATTCAGATTTAATGCTAGAACTTTAAAATGATGCAGAATTTTAAAAATAAAGGACATGACCAAAATCCACACATTTAAATTTCAGGATCAAACGTCCTTAAACGAGATTGTTGAAAGCTATTTAAGCTTGTGAAAAGCTTTTCCTGGTATTTAACTTGATTATAGTTAACGTTTATATTCAGTAAAAAATTCTTCTATGTAAAAGAGTGTCAGATTATGTAGTGTCTTTTATCAAGAGTTTAATTTAAAATGTATATGTATGTATAAATCTAAACTTTATATTGTGAGTCAAGTGATTTGCCTTAGAGTTCTGAGTTCCTTGCTCTACGTATGAACAATTTCTTAAGGTAGTTCTATACTCGGCACTAAATGGTCTCAATCTTTAACAAACAAGATAGACATATATCCCAGCAATGGATAGACACGAGAAAAGTTATATGTCAACATGTTCACTTTTCCGCTATAGCCTATCGAAGTAAATACCCCGAAATGTAAAATACTGAAAATTTACCTATCCTAGATTTTGTTGTATATAAATTAATTTAAGTCATAATATTCAATTTTAATACCAAAAAATGGAGTAGAAACATGTTATTAAACAATAAAATATCATTGTTTTGCATAATTTATTATAGATAGATACACTTTGTTATGCTATTGTATCCAAATTTAATGTGAGAAAATATGCTTCCCAGGACAATCTCGGTCATTTAAAAGAAATTATGGACTCAAACTTCGTAAATTTGCATTATTTTTACTAAATTATGTTTAAGAAAAATAATAAGCTTAAAAAAATTATATGTTGACGCATTACTTTTCGTGGTATGAGCTCTACTCTAAAGGTACCCCCCTATTTTTTTTTTTCCAGAAGTAATGTATTGCCACATATTTCTGTAATACTGTTAATGTTTGAGTGTATACTTGTATTAACAAGCTTGTACATTATTTAAAACAATAATTATACACACCCAAAACCTATTTTCCCTAAAAATTTATCTTATTTTACTCGAAAAAAAAAATAAAACACACTTGTCTTTAAATTGGAGACGATGAAAATGAAAGTAATTCACTGATTCTCAGAAACTGGATGATTTTGTTACAGAAAGTAACAAAGTATGCTGCAAGTGAATCAACTTTTGTCAAATATTTATTCAAAAGATAATTTTGCATTGGGGTTCGTGGGTAAGCAGGTTGGGGGAGGGGGTATGTGTTTAATGCAATTATTATTATCTAAAGTAAATTTTGTAATGTTTGATTAGTAAAATCCATAAATTTTCTAAGTGAAATCGTAGTCATTACTTTTCTTCTGAATTATCACTATTAGCTTCAACTTGGCCGCCGACAATAGCTACCAGTCGCCTCGATAGTTTGATACAGTCATGTTCTGATGTAGCATGTACATGTAAATGGTCCGTGTTTTCGACGCAGCATATCAAACATGCATCATTCACAGGAATATCGTTTTATTAACTAATTATTTCTGTCAACCGAAAGTTGTTCCCAGCCTTTTCTTTTAAATTAATTTATCCTTAAACTGTACAATATGTGTTTGTTGACGCGACCGTTTTCGAGCAAATTTAAAACGCTAAGTAAAAGTCAAACTAATATAGTTAAAGCGGCACAGTGAGTCAAAATCATATCGTAATTTTAAGATATCTGTAGCATACAGAGAAAGACTTATGAAATTATGAGTATTTAGCGAATATATGACAATTAAACTGCAAGAATTGACTGCACAATATAAGTGCCGGAAAAATAAAGGTTGTATCTACCGTTTCGTTGTTTCGGTTATGTCAAGGTCACGCAACTCTTATTTTTAAACTTGTAAACAACATTCAACTGGAGCATGCAAAAGTGAGAAATATGTTCTAAAAACTTTTTTAAAAAGATTAAATCAAATTTTTTGGTCTTCTTACATTCATTCGTGGATAACTGAGACCATGGTAACTATGGAAACTTATTCAACACTTTTCTGCGCACGCGTAAAATAGGGAGGAAGAAGTATCGGGGTATTTTGCAATATTTTCGTTCTGGGGCAGACAGAAAATATTTTTACTTTTATTTTTCCCCATAAAAATATCATTTTTAGGTTCTGAAACATGTAATTTTCTGAAACTGAATACTTTTAGGAATTGAACAAAATTTACAGAGGTCATGCGAAAATTCTACATTTGTCAATGTTCCCCTCTGTGCGTCACAGTGCCGTTTTAAAAACTCTCATCTCGGAAAAAAGGACGCGCGGTTCCGGTTTTACTATTCGTAAATGACGTAGTGCGAGTATAGAACTACTTTAAACGAGGTAAATTATTGACAAGCAAGTTGATGAAACAAGAATATCAACAGTCTCGTTTAAAGTCATCATTTCGTAAATTTATGGTCGATACAATGACCTTGTCAGCAAATACAATTTATCATTGAATTTATCATAGAATGAAATGCTGACTGACGTTTTTCATACCAATTGTTAGTCCATTATTTTTACACTGAATTGACCACGGATTTTTTCCGTTATTTCCTGATTATGACAACCAGCACACGGCGGGTGTGACTGGTCGGCAGGGGATGCTCACCTCCTCTATGGCACCTGATCCTACCTCTGATGTTTCAGAGGTCCGTGTTTGCTCTGCTCTTATTTTGTATATTTGTTTAATGGACGTTGAGATTGAATACTGTTCGTTATTTCCATATCCTTCTTCCTCAGAACTCAAGTACAATAAGTGGATAAGTGTCTACTTAACCTTTGATTAATTTGATGGAACCTTTTTCTTTCCTTCAAAGTGGGAGTTTTGAAAGATTTTATAGTATTACTGTATACATGTACCCGGTATTATTAAATTTTCAAAAGTGAAATACTGTAATTTATTTATTGAATAAAAATAATATCCTTTCACAGTGTAACAAATATCAGAAGCGCGGTAAAAATCTCGATTTACCTTCCAATAACGAAGATTGTTGTAATAATATTCCTAGGACTGTTATAATAATATATATAAAAAGAGTGTAATTATACCATTCTGACAGAGAATAAGACTGCCAAAATTCCCCCCAAAACATTGTTTGTAATCTATGTTTACAATGTTTTCAATCTCGCACCACTTAGCTACACTGTATGACGTATCAACCTCTCAAATATGACGTAATGTAGCATGTGACTGTATTACAAGCAAACAAATACGCAAAGGGAAAAGTAAAGAAAATGTAATAAACAGAAAATTCAATGTTTTGTAGTTGAATATGGAATTTATTTCACTCGTGAAACACGATTTTTTAATATATTTTCACGAGTACGATTTAGCCTGTCCCACTCGTGAAGTCAATAAATTCCATTATCAACGACAAAATTGACATTGAATATCCTTTATTTATACAAAAAGCAATCAATATTTATCTCGGCTTTGATTTCAGACACACAAGATTCAATAAATTCAGAAATACCAAACTCATCAAGTACAACAATGAATGCTGTAACGTCAACGGAAACCACAACGTTTGTTCTCAGTCGAGAAATGGGTTTGAAAGTTAAAATTCTTGTGTTTTATAGAAAGATTTTAAAAAAACTACTTTTATACCATTCCTGCTTCTTTATGTAACGTTTCAATGATAAAAGTTTTTTATGTCAATTAATTAAACAAACGTTCTAGTAAAAATCCCAATGACATAAAGGAAAAGACATTAATTTTTGGTTATTAGAAGCTTTTTCAAATTATTCATATACATGAGTTTGTTTACAATTGTTGTAAAATGTCTAAATAAGATAAAATGAATCTATGTAGGAAGCTTCATATTTCTTGCATTGTTTAAACAGTGATTCTGATGGTGGGAATTGGAGTGGTGGAAGTGACGATAATTTTTGTGGGAATTCTAGCAGTCAAGCGATTTAGACAGAATAAGTAAGAATCACAATAAAATCAATCATATTTCCTTCGTATTATAGCAACTGTTCTTGTCAATGTAAGATAGAAAGAAAAATATAGGGTTCAACAATAAAACACTAGAGATTGCTTCCATTTCTACCAGGGATTCTATTTTGTTCTATAGGAACAACACGACAAGACGCAGTAAAGAAAATGTCGGTCGACCTGTTTCTAGAAAGACAGTCTGTAGTATTGATAACGTATATGCCACGATTCCAGAGGAGGAATTCGAAGAGAATCCATATAAGGATCTATCTGAAGGGGTGTATGATACAACCTCAAAACGAAGATATCATGTCAATAGTAGCCGGAACGAATATTCCAGAGGAAGTTTTTATTCTCGTTTGTTTCGAAGTTCAAAAATAAGCGGAAGAAGTTCAGTACAGGAAATGCATCCAATGTTTTCAACATTCCGAGACACGAAAAAGGAAACAAAGTAATTTGTTTAATCTCAGATAACTGTTTGTGAGACTTTAAATTACTATCTTAAAATTTTACATGTATTTTTTAAGACAAGGTAGGGTCTCAAGAAATATATTGCCCAGTGTTTTCTTAAATATGAAGGTGATGTAAGAAACTAATACTCTGCTTTTTGAACTGTTGAAATTCCATGCTGTAGGAATATACAAATCATATTTCTTAGATGATCTACTAAGTGCTTATAGGGACGTCTTGAACGTGTGCATTTTTTTCCCAAATTTTCTTAAACCTTTCAAAGGACATCATTTTCATGCAAATTCTATTTGATAATATGGAGAACACGCATCACCAAAACCATTTTGAGATTTTGTGATTTTTCAAAGGATTATACAACACTGTATATCGTAAAAAATATAGTGAGAAAGAACTTTGGGCAATTATTACAACGTTTTAAGGGAAATAAATATAGAAATGAGACATGTTAAACTTTTCTGTTGAAAACATTTTTAAAAAATAGTACATGTATGTACAAAATAAATGGCGTCATATTTTCAGTATGTCATATTTATTTCATAATCTATCACATTTACATACTCAACTCAATTTCAAGGCACAGATAATTCAAATTTTCTAATTGTTTTGTTTTTCATAGGCAAATTGATTTAAAAGCAAATTTTTGATGATATAATTTTTAATATGTAATTGTTTTCAAGGAATTAATTTTAAATGGTAATTGTGTATGCTATTAATTTTAATTGTTATATGTTTTTTATCTTTGTCAACCAGAATCAATTGCCGATGAATCAATTGCAGATCTGTACAGATTGTACAGCTAATAAGTGAAATATATTTGAAATATAAATGAACGAGTGATTAACATATCTGAATATACATTTTATTCTTTTAACCTTGTATTTTATCCTTGTGCATATAAGTAACAACGTACATATGCTGAATCATGCCCATTAATGTACATATATAATAATTTGTTATCAGGCTTATTGCTAGATTATGCTAACATTTAGAAGGTGTTTTGAAGCGAAATTAATATTAATTGCATATAAATGTATGTTATTTGTGTACATTGTCATACTAATGAAATCATAACCAACTTTTTGTAATCAAGCATTATTACAAAATTTCAAAATTTTCCAAGAATTTATCGATATGACGGTTTAACTTATGTATATTTTATTTATTATATGTCATTATGTAGAAGGAAAAATTAAAGAAGTTAGTTCAACAGGCTCGAAATTCATAGAAATTGAAAATTCTCGTAAAAATGTCATATTTCGCAAAATACTTAAAATCTAAACGTGTATAAATATTATTTATTTTAGGTTCCTCATTATTATGAATCATATTATATAGGGAAATATCCCGAGCAAAATATATTATCAGGAAATACGAATAAATTTTTTATATCCAGGAACTCAAAAAACATTTCAGTTGTTTTTAAATGAAACGTATGGAAATAAAGAACAATATTCAAAATCAAAGTTCCTTAAAACAAAACAAAATAGGAGCAGAACCGGAAAAACAGATCTTCTCAGATATTCCTTGCCTCTTGATGTAAATTCCACTAAGATAATGTAAATATAATTAGATTTTTTATTGTTTTTATTCAAACGATCAAGTAACAAAACTAGGGTTTTTCTACAATGAATTATATGACTTCTACAATCATTTTGATCATTTTCAAACAAAAGTGGAGGGAATGACTCCTTTTTAATTGTGCCGAAAGTGTTTTGTTTATAATTTTGAAAAGTATACTACGTGTACAAATATTCTTTTTTTAATTTTTAGACCCTGTGATAGCAAAATTGGGACCTGTTTGTGATCGTATGTTCTTTTATGAATAATGATTATAATATAGGCAAGTGTAAGTACATTCATACATGCATGTCCGAAGAATCTTCCTTATATGACTATTATTATTTAGCCATGGTCGCTTTCAGAGAACAAATGTCCAATCCGATGACTGAATGACAAAACATGCTGATTTACTAGATAGTTATCAAATCACCGACACGTGGTTAAGGTCAATATAAATATCAGCTATAATAAAGATATTTTTCCCTTTCCATTTCACACTTTCGACAGCCTTTTTATTCATGATAATTCCAATGAAACTTCAACGTCTATCGTTTTGGATAAAGCAATGCACATGAAATTTGAATTTACTGATATGCTGGAATACATATGGTCATTTGTCATCAATGAATTGGACGGGGCCAAAATTCAACGGGGATTGGATGAAGACATGATGCTCCTACCAAAATGAAAGGTATATATCTTCCGAATTATATTTCTTTTTTGTTAAAAAAGTATTCCATTAAGGTACACATATACGTAATTATTTGGATGCAAAAATTGGTGTAAAATTTGGACATTTAATTTTTTATCAATTTACCGGGGACCGTTTTTCATATCATCCTTATTGTACGTATTAGTTAAAAAAAATATGAGTCATTTAAATTGAGAGGAAAGTTCGGTTAAAAAAAACACCTGTTAAATTAAAGTACATGTAAAATAGACAATTTCAATATTAAGGAAATCAACACATTATATGTTAGGAAGTATATACTTGTACATATGGTGTTTTGATATATATGTCCCAAGTATAAGTAGTTGACTAATTGCATACGCCAAATTTGTAGAAAAAAAATCTTTGGCTTCACTTAAATTTTGTAACTTATTAATACATCACTTCATCATGTTTCTGTAGAATTATAAATGATACAAATAATATATCAACTGAAAAAGTTACACAAAATGCCACAAACATTAGAATAGCTACTGAAAATGTTCAGTCCTGGTTTCAAGCTTGTATCTATATGCTTGTTTATATGTATATAATAATTGTGGTTGTTACACACTATTTAAGTAGATAGAAAAACTCATCTACATTGTATGGGCTCCCTACATTACAATGACTATAAGATAAAAAACGTATCAATCTGCTTGACATTAAGTTTGAAATGAGATTTATTAAAAAGCAAAAAATATCTGAATATTTTTTACACTTATAGATGGAAAATTAGATTATGAGGAATGAATTTTATAGATCAATGAGTGATATTGGAATAACCTGGCATACATGTAACCTCTTCTGGTAAAGTTTAGGCGCTTTAATCTGATTTAAAAAATCTGACGTTTTTCATACTAATAGTTAGGCCATTATTTATACACTGAATTGACGACAAATTTTTTCTTTTATTTCCTGATCATGACAATGAGCACAAGGCGGGTTTGACCGGTCAGCAGGGTTTGCTTACTCCTCCATGGCACCTGATCCCATCTCTGATGTTTCGGAGTTCCGATTTGCTCTGCTCCTATTTTGTACTGTTTTATTTACTTTGAGATTGAATACTGTTCGTTATTTCCATATTCTTCTAGAGACGTCAGCAGCCATTTGACTCAATGTTAAATTGTATTTGCAGACAATGTCATTATATCGACCATAAAACTTACGAAATTATGACTTTAAAAGAGATTGCTGATATTCTTGTTTCCTCAACTTGCTTGTCAATAATGTACCTCGTTTTAGAAATACGTAGAGCATGCTCTTGCGAATCGAATCTACTATTTAAATAATATTGACTTAAAAAAATTACAGAGGAAGATAAACAAATTGCAATTGATTTCCGTCTCTTAAATATATGTTCAGAAGCAATATATCGAATGAAACAAAATAAATCTCCCGGAAGCAACGGTTTACCAGCATAATTTTAAGAAATGTTTTGGAAACAAATTAAAAGGTATTTTTACAATGCTTTAGTTCGAAAAAGGTGAATTATCACAAACACAAATGTTTTGTGCTTTGTCTTATACATGAAAAATATGTCTTAGATAAAAATCTAATAAAATAATACACATTTAGACGACAATTCAACTCATTTGTCCATCTTCTTTTCCTAGCTTCATATTTTTGTCGACAATCAGAAGTTAGCGCAGTTCGAACCCGATCTTAATTAAGCGTTTATGAAAAATATTCAAAATGCCATAATTCTGTCAAAAATCAATGAAGCGAAACGAAATTCAAACTTGATCTGTAACTCATTAAGATACACTAACGTACAAAAATTTCGCTCAATATCTGCAAGGGTTAAGAAAAAAAGTGCGGAAAACCAAGTGGGAATGAGAAATATTCAAAACGCTATAATTCTGTCAAAAATCAATGAAGCAAAACGAAATTCGAACTTGATCTGTAACTCATTAAGATACACTCACGTACCAAAATTCAGATCAATATCTGCAAGCGTTTAGAAAAAAAGTGCGGAAAACTAAGTGGGACAGACTGACGGGACGGACAGACGGACAGACGGACAGACGGACGGACGGACGGACGCAGAGGAAACCTAAAGTCCCCTCCGGTTTCACCGGTAGGGGACTAATAAGACAGGGTACATTAAAGGTCGGATCATTGGTGCAAATGCTAGGTTGATAATAGTAATAAGGAAGGTATTCTACTTTTTGCAGATTTACACAAGGCTTTTGATTCAGTGGAAAGTTTTTTTTATTAATACTCTTCATAGATATAATTTTGGAAATATTTTCTTAACACGGATAAAAAATAAAACCACACTTTTTACATAAAAAAACAATAGATGGCTCTCCAGGCAAGGTTCAACAAAAAGGGGAATTAGACAAGGAAGTCCGCTTTAAAAACTCATATTCCTTTTGTTTTGGAAGTGCTTTCTCTAAAAATAAATTCTTCGGCAGAAATAAAAGGTTTTAGCATCGACTCAAAAATGAAATCAAATGTATTCAACATGCTCTTGACAGCACATTTCCTTTACAAGATAAAGGATCACTAGAAAAAGCATTAAAAATAATTGAAAATTTTGAAAAAGTTTCTGGTACAAAACTTAACATATCGAAAACTGACTGCATTCTTTTATGGCGATTAAAAGAAAGATTTACACAGGAATCATACATTTGCAAAACCAAAATTAACAGTCAAGCAATAAGATGCTTAGGCATATACATCGAAACGATAAAACTGCATGACTGTAATGAAAGAATTGGCTTAATAACTTTAAAGAGTTTGAAAAGGTACTCGACTCCTGGAGAAAACGGAAACTTACCATTTTGGAAAATTTCTGATAATAAATTCATTAATTATATCAAAACTCCTATGGCAGCAACCGTTTTAAATTATCTGGATGGAATTTTTATTATAAACTGAACAGTTTGGTATATTATTTGGGTAAATCGTGAACGCATTAAAAGAAATACACTCATTTGTGAAGTTAATAATTGGAGGATTAGGAATTATTGATTTGGAAAATAAAGGCATAAAAAGCGGCTTGGGTTTCCAAAAGTATAAAAGATCTTTTAAATGCATGTTTAGCACCATACGGACTTAAGATATGTAAAGTTAGTTACTAGTAACTGGCTACCAGTAGCTGGCTATGACAAATGGATAAAGTTGGCTACTAGTAGCAGGATAGGAGAAGTTGGTAGAGTTGGCCAATAGTAACTGGCTTCTAGTCGCTGGCTACAACAAATGGATAACGTTGACTACAAGTAACTAGATGCTAGTAAATAACTTGAACCTGCTAGGGCTTTTGTGTAAAAGCATGCAATTTTGGGATACAAATGTTTACATCGCTGATATCCACTTATATTGTTATACAGTTTCAAAGTTTTTTCCACATGATCTGGCATTAAAGTTACCAAGATATCATTAAAAATAAACTCCGCTACAGGTACCTTTTGAGTAGAATTGTGCAGTGTTGTAATTATTGTAGTAACTCCATATTTAAAAACGCTGATATTTTTTCGGTTTAAAATATATTTTATTCATTTAATGAAATGGATTGAACAGCAGGCATAAATGCCTATGATCGTTCTCTCCATGGGTCAAGGTACAATTACAAGTACATGAAAACATTGGAAAATGTATGAAGAGAAGATTATAAAATGGTAAAACAAAAATCGCTGATATTCACTGATATTGCAGATAAAAAACAATCTCTAAGCTTTTCCAAATGATCTGGCTCTGATTTCATCAAGATATCATTAGAAATAAACTCAGGTACTGGTACCTTTTGTATAAAATTGAGTAATTTTGGATACAAATGTTGAAGTTATTGACGTAACACACGGTGGATGTGTCCGGTCTTCAGGGGATGCTTACTACTCCGTGGCACCTGATCCCACCTCTTATGTTTAACGTCCATGTTTGCTCTACTCCTGTTTTGCATTGTTTTATGGACTTTTGATCTTAAATACTGTTCGTTATCTCCATATGTTAATTACAGTATCATTGTGACCTTCTATTTTACGTTGTGATAGGACACATACATATATTGAGTTTCCCACAGTAAAACATGGACACTGCCATTTTTTTTATAAAATTGAAGGGTACCCATCTCTTATCCGCAAATCCTCAAAATAGAATCATAAAATACTTTCAGATATTCTTTATTACGAAATGCCATTGTGAACTTTCGATTTTACTCTGATCTTCAACTTATTTTGGGTCTCCAAGAACAAAACATGGAATTCGCCAATATAATTTACGGGAGGCTTGGATATCTTTTAGTTACCTTAGTGCTCATTGTACCTCTAGTTTATATAAAAAGTTGAACAATGCACACACAGAATATTTGATAACTGTATGTTTTTTCCCATATCAACTGTAACAGAGTGGAAAATCTTGAATATAGTCCATTCCTTATTCATTTGACCCCTTTATTTCAGGCGAAATGAAGCCATTCTTCTTGTTTTTGTCAACCATTTCATGCAAAAAACACTGAAATCTTCCCTATTGTGTTCATAAAAATACAAACTGAAGGAGTTTATCTGTCCTTTCAATAAACGATAACTCATTAATCGACACTTCTTTGGTCGTTTTTCACACTTGACTTACTGCCCTTAAAACGCAACATTGTACAAATCAAATATTGATTTTGAATTATCTAATTAAAGGATTAATATCCTTTTTATCAGAATTTCATGTATTTATAATTCTATCAAGCATACGTGCTACTTGAAAATTGGTTGAAAGGCCCAAGAGAAGGGTACCATCCAATATTATCGACAAAAATGACAGTATCCATGTTTTACTATATGGTAAACCATAAAATATGTGTTTGAAAAAAAAAATAAAATAGAAGATGCAAAATGTCATTTTGTAACAAAGGTTCTGTAAAATTCTCATTAAATTCAATTTAATCATATAAGAGAAATTGTGGATAAGAGAGGGGGGTGCCCAAATAGTGACAGACGACGTACAGACAGACAGAAATCCCGATTAACTATATAACCTCCCAGTCTTCAAGCCGGGTTTGGACAAGTGCTAGAAATGATGTTTTTAATTTTAAAAAGTTTAGCCTCGATATTTTATCGGTAAAATTCGCAGCTTTTTCGGCCAAAACGGGCATGTTGAATAGTTTATGATTTAAATGATATCAATTACGTTAGGCATTAAATGTTCTATTTAACTATAGGTACAGCCGTGTCATTAGAGACAGAATTGTTGGTCGATATGACAGTCGCCTTTGTTTGAGAAGTTAGATAATGAATGATTGAAGAACATTCCTGTAAATATATCTTTAATCTGTATCTGCAAAACAGTTCATTGGATTTTTTATTGTGCTAATAAATTATCAAAACTCTAAATCACCAATCTTAAGACACATACATGTAAGAGATACGTATAATTGTCGTCTTGCATTCAGCAATGTATTTTTATAGTTTAAGAAGTATTTTATTCATAATATACAATGAGGTATACAACAAGAATATGGATTGAACAGCAGGCCAAGGGCCTATATAAGTTCTATCCTTTTGAGATCAAGGTACAAATGTAAATACTGTTGATATTTGAAGTTTTACAAAGACATGTATTATAAACTAATATTGAAGGGATTAAAGAAAACATAATTGAAGAAAAATTAAGGGAAAAACAGTGGGTAGCGAAAATAATAAAATTTATTAAATTAATGCAATTAACGGGGAAAAAACAAGCAAGAAGTGATAAAAGGGGTAGGCTATGTTAGTCAAGTTAGCCATAAAGTGTATCAAATATCGTATGACCACAAATAAGAGATTGGATGATATTTTTTAGAGTGGTTCCTGTTACTGTAGAAGTACTTCTATTCAAAACACTTTATATTTTTTTTATATGAATGTTTATATAATGTTTATAAAGCGTCAAACCAGTATATAAAGTATAACTTATGGGTAGCTATTAAATTCTTTCTTTACATGAAAATGCTGAATACTGTCCAACTAATGGATAATGATTCATGGGGAAAGAAAGAAAGAAGTCAATTGAGTGACCTGATCAATCTTATCAATACTAACGGCTGGTGCATAAGAATAAAACATTTTGTTTTGCGTATGGTCACATGCAATAATCAATAAAAATGCTTCATTGCAATTAGACATTTTAAGATCTGAGTTTAGGTAGATTAGACGGTGTTATCAGAGCGCTCAAAGATAGACTGGCTTGGTGATTAATCAACAAGACGGAAACAATAACTGAAGTGAGGTAATGAACAAAATTGAGCATTTCTGCAAATCTTAGAACAGTTTCAAAATTTTTGAATAGTTAGTAGGAATAACCATAGATAACAAAAATATTACATTCCTAAAATTTGAAAAATATGTGACATGTCTTTTAGATCTACTAAACAATTTATTTACTACGTCTTTACGGTAATATGAACGTTTTTTTTTATCCTTTAGAGTCACAAGATCTAATAATGAACCCCCGTACCAGTGCTCAGGACGTGATTCGATGTGACCTGTGTAAGATCGCTGTGGTACAGATGCACTGTACTAGATGTCTTGCCAACCTGTGCAAGGTCTGTGGGGAGGAACACATCTCGACAAATGAATCCAAGGACCATAAAATCGTTAAATTTCAGGCCAGGAAATCTACTCTCCTCTACCCTGGATGCACAACTCATGACAAAGAACAATGTGAAATGTTCTGCAAAAAATGCGACATTCCTGTCTGCATCAGTTGCCTTGGATCTAATCAACATTTAGGTCATGCATTGATTAAAGTTTTACAAGTTGTGGGTGAAAAGAAAGACACAATTTTAAGAGAAAGGAATGAAATCAAAGATAAAATATATCCGACATTCCAGGAAATCGCCTATGATAAACAAACCAAAATGAGTCAGTTAAAAAAAGATTATGGAGATCTCTCAACAGCCATAACAGAACATGGGGAGGACTGGCACAGAGAAATTGATAAACTTGTCAAGACACTTAAAGCTGAAGTTGCTGAGATGAAAAACACACAGTTACAAACTCTACAGAAGCAGCTGGATGAAATAAACAAGAAAATTTCTGACATCAAGGATGACATCAATTTATTTGAAATGGCTTTGGACACTAATGACTTGTCAAAACTGTTTAGTGTTACATCCAATATAAAAACATACAAAACCTCTTCACAACAAATCATGACATATTTACCTACATTCATTCCCAACAAACTGCCAGAAGAACTTAATAAACTATTTGGAGCCTTATCAGCAAGTTCTTTAACATCAGATCAACAGGGCAACAAAATGAAGACGACACAGAAATCCCAAGAAGCTATATCCTCTCCTCCAGTCAAAGAGCTGCTTGATGAACCAGAGAATGTCACCACCATAAACACTGATTATACAAACCTTTACAATGTGGCCTGTCTGAGTGATGAAGAAATCTGGACAAAGGGAGATGACAACAACATGAAACTATACAGCATCAATCAGGGATCACTACTCTCACTCAAAAAACTCTTTAATTTTAATATCACTCGGGGATCACGACTCAAATCAATCACAACCAAATCCGGTTACAAGCCAACAGACATAGCAGTGACAAAAAGTGGAGATCTAGTTTTTATGGATTACATTGATAGAACTGTAATCATTTTACAAAAAGAGAAGTTTGAGGAAGTGATTAAACTACAGAACTGGAGACCTTACAGTGTCTGTAGTACCTCCTCTGGTGACCTCCTGGTTCTCTTAGACAGTGATGATGCCAAACAAGCAAAAGTTGTCCATTACTCTGGTTCCACAGAAAAACAAACCATTCAGTTCGATGATCACGGTAAACCTCTCTATTCACCTGGTGGATATTACAGATACATTACTGAGAACAAGAACCTGGATATCTGTGTGTCTGACAGTGTAGCCAGAGCAGTAGTGATTGTCAATCAGGCCGGAAAACTGAGATTCAAGTACACTGGATATACTTCTGTTCAAAAGAATAAACCATTCAGTCCACGGGGGATCGCAACAGACAGTATCAGTCACATCCTTACAGCTGATTATAACAATGGCTGTGTCCACCTCATAGACCAAGATGGACAGTTCCTCCGTTACATAGACTGTGGATTGAATGGACCCTGGGGATTGTGTACAGATACGAATGACAATCTGTTGGTTGCCCAGTGCATGCACAGACAAGTAAAGAAAATAAAATATCTACAAAGAAATTTATCAGTGTGTTAAATCTAGGTCATACGCAAAGTAGTTTGAACTTTTTTGTCTTTTACCATCGAGTTGAAGATTTCTGATTTTTGAAGGAACTGTGTGTGGTATTTCCATTTCTTTATACGGTGTTCTACACTTCATCTAAAACAATTTTGGATAAAAGATACATCCCAAATGTATTTCAGTATTTTTTTTTTCATATTTTCTTTGAATCATCCAAAAATTTTCATGAATTATTATTGTCTTTCAAAAACTCTTGTAATGCATGCTGAATTTTTTTAAACAATGAACATCTGATGACACTACAATATGAAATTAAGAACATCTTTAAAAAATATCAATAGGTAAAGTACGTTGCTTATGTCTTTTAGTACACGAAAATCGTTCACTATGCAATATTACTGATATATTAGTATGCTGCGGTATGGACATTTGCAATTATATCATAATCACATAAACGGAGTGTTAAAGATTGTTTTAGAGATTAAGAAAGAGGGACAGGGAGACAGAGGGGAAAGATAAGGGGTATGATAAAAATGGAAATGTGAATAAAACAATATGATTCAAGAGTTTTCTTTTTTTCAACAAAATTCTTGTCTGTCTTTTATGACGTCTCAGATCGCAATTTTCAACAACATAACCTTTTTAACTCTCTGTATGAACGCTTCAGTACATAATTTATTGTTTTTTGTATTTATTTGAAAAATTGTACCGTATAACATTTAAAGGGACCCACTGTGGTTTCTATTGCGCAATATTTCGAACATCATAGTAAGATGAAGTATATTTACTGTTTTAAAGCAACTCTTTTCGCTTAATTATTAAAATTAGATAAAATTAACAATTACATTTACAATTTTAAATAACTGATTTTTTTTACCGATTTAGCAATTGAAAAGTAGGTTGACATCGTTACAGTGTGTTTTTGACATTATGATAAACTGAATCTCTTAAAGAAAGGGATAATGATAATGTTATTAAAGACAAAATAATAAGCGTATGCTCTTAAACTTTTAAACATAGAAATTTGAGAATATCTTAATCATTTTTATTATATGCTAGGGTTGATCCAAAAGTAATGTCACAACTTTGATAAAATTGCTATAAATAGACGTAAAGCACCAACATTATACATGATGAAACTTTATTTGTTTCAAATCAGACCTCAAAAATTCATAGGAATATGATGTATACTTTTCAAAATATTGGATTTAAAACAATGCGCGTTTATGGTAGTCGCCGCACCTAAATAAACCGTCATATGACGGATACACACCATCATACTTTTAAGCGTTTCCCTTTCGTTTCATTAAAAAAATATTTGTGATTTGCAAACACTTTCATCAATTCCCCTTTTTTAAAGAATTCTTGATACATTATAAGTCATATGTCACTGTATATACGTACGTCTGTCTTTTTCACCATTGAAAGTTTCCGTCCGATCTATCTTTCGGTCTTTTCGTCATCTGCTAATCATTCAGTGACAAAACACCCATCCAAAATTGCTGAAACCATCTATTTTAAAGATATCTCTTATTCACATTGAATTTCTTTATTCTGTAAGTCTGATTGATTAACGAAAATGTTGCTAGTGATGATTCCCATATTTTGAAGCAAAAATGCATTACAACTCATCGAGTCTTTTTTCCGATTTCGACAATCCCTTTGTTCAATTGTTCAATTCAACAGAGTTAAACAACAATGTTTATGATCTTAAATACCAATGCTGTCATTTAATTTTTAATTAAAGACTAGAAAATGCTGAGAACTGAGTCTTTTAAAAACTGGGAGATTAGGTTTTTTTTTTTTTTTTTTTTTTTTTTAGAATCTTTTAGAATTTTTAATTGTGTTTGTCTTTTTCATTCTAAGAAAAAAAATACACTTTAAAATGTGACGTTCCGTTGTGACGCAGCGACACCCCCTATGCTTTATGATTTGAACATCTATAAAATAAATTCAAATAAACATTATTCAATCAAAATTTCAATGTTAGTTAGATTGATGTTTGTGCATCTTTTGGTATATTGTATTTGATGATATGATGCCAAATATAAGATATATGGAAATTGTGACATTACTTTTGGATCAACCCTCGTATTTTCATATAAATCCATTGTGTCCGTCATATTTTGTAGTACTTTATAAAAACAGGAAAATTCGTTAATTTGTAGCATTTCGAGATTCACCCTCTGGTAACAAGACGATAGAATTTTGTGTTTATATACACATATTTATATAATAGTGTTGCATGTACTATGCCTAAATAGTAGGCAGGGTTTGAAACATGGTGCACGAGCCGGAGGCTTGAATACTGAAGAATACTGGTTTTGCATTCTGGATGGTTGATTCTGAAAGTTTCAAAGACGACAAAACATATATCACAAAACAAAAGGTTTTCTTTTATTTCAGCATTTAAGGAAGTGGGAAAAGATAGAAAAGATAGAAAAATTTGACATTTGACATCACAAATATGGAGAAAAACATTTTACTACATATGCTATTCAAAGAACACGTATATGACTTTATTTGTGCCACATTTTATGCTGATCTGATTTGTGGTTTTGTAGATAAAGAAATAGTTCACATACTTTTGGGTCACCCCTTGTGGTTCATTCCTCCATGTCACGAAGCTGAATATACCTCTGATGTTTAACAGGTCCATGTTTGCCTTGCTCCAAATATTGTATTGCTTAATGGTCTTTTGGGCTTCATACTGTTGGTTATTTCCATATCATATCTCCATTGCCATGTTCACTTGAGATGAAGAGTTCCAAAACTAAAACATGTAAAAGGACAATTTAGAATTCTATGTTTTTCTAACTCTAAATAACAAAGCTATCCCATTCCTTTTTTTAATAAATGTTTTTGAATTAAAACTACGATAACTTTATTTAATTCCAATCAATATCTAAAAAAAATGATTGAGCAATTTGAATAGCAAACTTGTAATTAAATCCCCTTTTAATTAGGACGTATAAACACCTCACAAATATAAAGTACAGGTGTATCACGTGATCAGAGAATAGTAATGGAACTTGGGGATCAATAGAAGGACGGCCACCATTACTTTTAGGTAAAAAATATAGGAGGAGAAACTAGTCTTCAAACACCAAAGTTTAGTAGATTTAAACCACTGCAAACAAAATTCACCTTTTTCTAAAGTCCTCTGGGGTGTATAGGATTCATGCCTGGAACTTTCATGTATACAGTAATTATTCCTAATAATAATATATTTTTGTTTAAATTGTCAGATTTATATTGATCCCGCTTTAAAATTCACCATGGACCCCCGTACCAGTGACCTGTGTGTGACCGCTGTGGTACAGATGCACTGTGATACTTGTCTTGTCAACTTGTATAAGGCCTGTTTGGGAGAACATATCTCAACAGATGAATCCAAGGACCACAAAGTCGTCAAATTTGACTCCAGGAAATCTACTCTTCTCTTCCCGGGATGTAAATCCCATAGCAAAGAACGATGTGAAATGTACTGTAATCAATGTGACATTCCTGTATGCAACACATGTTTTGCATCTGATCATCATTTCAGTCATAAATTTTCAAAAATTCTACAAGTTGCAAATGCGAGAAAAAACAAAATTATGAAAGATGTAACTGAATTAAATGAAACAATTTATCCAACCTACCAGGACATTGCGTCTGATGTACATAACATAATGAGTAAGTTAGAAAATGGATTACGGAGATCTCTTATCAGCTATAACAAAACATGTAGAGGACTGGCACAGAGAAATTGACAAACTTGTCAGGAAATTTACAGCTGAAGTTGATGAGATGAAAAATACAGTTACAAACTCTACAGAAACATTTGGATGACATAAACAAGACAATGTCTGACATTAAGTATGAAATCGATTCAGTTGAAATGGTTACAGACAATGATGACTTGTCAAAACTGTTTAGTTTTACATCCAATGTAGATATACATGTATACAGAAATCGTCCATACAAAATAATTAATCTTTACCCAAGTTCAAGCCTGGGAGAATCCAAAGAGAAAATTTCATAAAACAGTATGGACCCTTATCATCAAGTTCTTTAACATCAAATAAACATGGCTACAGCATGAAGACAGCACAGAAATCACCAGAAGCTGGATCCTCTCCTCCAGTCAAACAGCTGCTTGATGAACCAGAGACTGTCACCACCATAGACACTGGGTATAGAGGTTATCTTTACAATGTGGCCTGTCTGAGTGATGAAAAAATCTGGACAAGTGGAAGTGATGTCCAGCACCATGAAACTCTTTAGTATCATTCAGGGATCGCTACTCGAGTCAATCACATCAACGTCGGGAAAGGTGCCAACTAACATAGCAGTGACAAAAAATGGAGATCTAGTATATACTGTTTACAATTATGGAACTGTAAACTTTGTGAAAAATGAAAAGGTAGAGGAAGTTATCAGATAACATGGACTAGAGAACTGGAAATTTCGTGGTGTCCTCTGATGACCTCCTGGTTATCGTTTGTAGTAAATATGAAAATCAAACAAAAGTTGTCCGTTACTCTGGCTCCGCAGAGTAACAAATGAGTCCGTTTGATAATAAAGGTAAACTTTTCTATTCATCTGATGGTTATTACGGATACATAACTGAGAACAAGAACCTGGATATCTGTATCTCTGATGAGAAGGCTAGAGCAGTAGTTGTGGTCAATCAGGCCGGGAAACTTAGATTCAGATACACTGGACATAAACCTGCTCTAAATAACCAACCATTCGATCCACAAGGAATCACTACAGACAGTCAGAGTCACATCCTTACAGCTGATTATAACAATGAGTGTGTCCACATCATAGACCAGGATGGACAATTCCTACGTTACATAGACCGCGGGCTAAGTCAACCCGAGGGTATGTGTACAGATACAATTGACATTCTGTTTGTTGCTCAGTATAGAAACAAACAAGTAGAGAAAGTTAAATACTTGAATTGAAATACTTCGCTGTATTGTATACTATATGTAATTCATTAGTTATACAAATTCATTATAGTCATATGCATCTTAGTTTGAACTTTATTTGGCTCTTCCTTGGAGTTGAAAAGTTCCACTAAATGAAGGACCCCTGTGTACAATACTTTTAATGTCCATATATGGATTTACACACCTTTTCTTAAAAAAAATGATGG